AAAATATCTGAGATTTAAGAAGACGTACCAAAAGCTCTTCAAGGTCACAGATGCCTGCACTCCACTTTTGTCACTGAGTAGACCACTGCCGGGACTGTAGCCGCACAACGCACAATCATACGAATCATAAGGACTCATCAGACTTCTTCTAAATCCTAGAAATTTGCAAATTTTTGTTACAGTCTCAAACATATTACTTTAAAGTACATTAATTTTATTCCCTTTATTATTTTTCATATTATAATATTTTATTAATTAAGTATTATTTTTTTTAAACTTTAAAAACAAACAGGAAACTATCAAGGTTTTATCTTTTCAATAGGAGTTCTGGGTGAAAAACTATTTTTTTAATTATATTATACGCTTTTTTTGACAGTGGTTCACGAAATGTTTGGAAATTATCAAATATTTGTGATTTATGTGATCAATGCTTTTTATATCCAAAACATTGAAAGAAAAATATCGGTTTTTATTTCATTCTTTTTTATAGCTTATACTTGATTGCTATTTTACGCTGAAACACTATGTATTGCACTCTTTAAAATCACACATTTAGTTTATAATTATTTCAAATTAATCGACTTAATATAGCGATATTGTTTGGCCTTTTTTTACAACAGTGGTCAAAAACCCTAAAAACCCCAATTTATAATCCAATTTTTTTTCTTCAAAATTTTGTCTTCCTCCCATATTTTGAGCGTCAGGTATCCAAATATGTAAAAAAAATGTCTTTTTATTCAGATAAATTATTTTTTGTTTGTTTCTGATTTCGTAATTTAATGAATTGTTAGTACTAATTAAATAACATTTTGGTAATCCCCTCTGGAACCAATAAAATTTCCAATTAGTTGTTGAAAATTAGATTATTAGACGGAATGTCTGGAATTTGTACACGGAACATTAAAGCTAAATAATTTGAGATAAATAAGTAATCAAAAGTATTTCAATGTTTTAAAATGCGATTCATGAGATTGGTTATAAAATGCAAGCATGTATAGAGAAGCTTACATACAGGTTCATGTGGATTTTCCCTCGTTG